TAGGCCGTGTCCGAAACGGGCTTCCAGAGCTACAGCTGCGTCTATTGTCTACGCGTCTCCGCACATTTCCAATGGAGAGAAGACCTAGACCTAGCTCTAGACAACAGATTCAGCCTAAGAAACAACGCCCATTACAAGCAAACATGCGCACTTCATTTTCAAGCAGACAACAACAGTTTTTCGCGCAAGCACACGACGCCATAGCGCGAAATTTTTCAACGACTGACCTCGTAAAATACCAAAGTGTAGAAGCATAAATAAATTGCAAGAACATCTAAACACGACTTACGAACAACATACAGTTTTCCTCCATTAGTAATATTTTTAAATAACAGTTTATCTTAGAACAATATAAAAATGGATTTTACAGACCCTTTGTAACAACGAAAAAAATCAAAATTGTAAAATCTTGCACTACTTTCATTAATTAATGTTACCAGTAAATATGTTTTCTGAGATCTGGATTGATTTCAGGCATTTATTTTTAATCTGCCTCCGGTTAAAAATTTTAATTATTTGGTCATTTTGAATCAGCCCAAAATCGTATCATTCCAACGGTTCACGAAAATTCAAAGCCATTTTGTATCCTTTTTTATTACCCAAATGGTACATCCAAGACTTGGATGATCATTTTCTGTTAGATTGTACCAGTTTTGTGAGTACTAATACCATTACCTAAGGTAGAATAGTTAAATTAGAGACATTCCCTTTTCATCGTTTCAGCTGCTACGGTCGGACGCTGACCAGTGCCGTACCGAGACGTCGCGTCCGCCCCAGCACATTGTGCATGCACATGTACAGTACATATACATGTCACGTGTACACATGTTAACGCGCATACACGACAGCACTTGACCCGTGACTCGCCGCTACAAAAATGTTACTCAAAGTCTACCCTTACAAGAGCATGGTGCAAGGGCATCCTCTTTCCTCTTTTGCACGACGCGACAATGTAACGGCACGACGCGACGGTGCGTAGGTACGACGGGATGATGCGCTGTTGACGGCGGAAGTGGCTACAGACTGGAGGAAGAATGCACCGCGTAATTGGCAGGAACGGACTTCCATACTTCTGCTCAAGGCTGATAACTGTCGACCCCCTGGTTCAGTTCATTTGCATATCGCCTCCTTAAATAAATAAAATATGAGGTCAAGTCCAGGATGTCATGTCCATTTCTTGGAGCGTCAGCACGTATTAAACAGGTTCATTAGGGCCTATTTTTAAACAGTGATGGGTGTACTGTGCAGAAGTTGAAAACAAAGAGGTAAATTTTATACGATCAAAGATCACTGACAGCATAATCCTTGAATTGAAGATGTATAGTTTTCAAAATGTGAAACATTTATTTGTGGTCTGCTCCTTCCTTAAGTTTATTTTCGTAGTAACGAAGTCTTCGTAATCCTGTAATTTAGATATGTTCAATTCGAGTGATTTGGCGGGGTAAGAATTGAGACTTTCTTGTCCTACACGTATGCTTGAATCCTATGTTGAGCCTTCTCGCTTTGAAGACTTTGTTTGCCCAGAACTAACAAACGATCGAATTGGCACTTTCGTATGTGGTGTGGAAGCCTTGAACCGAATAAAACACCACAGAATTGTGAAAAGAAATGCTACATGAATTTGAAATTTAGCCTCAAAGTGGTTGTTGAAGTGATAAACAATTTTCATTTTCACTCGATCTCTTTGGTCTTTTTTCCACCAGATTTCTCGATTTTATAAGTTTTCCCACAGCAATGTGACACTGCATACAACAAGCTAGAATCTCAACTACGCAATACATTAAGTTTTATCTACAGCTAGATTGTTTTGTTCGATTTTCATGAATTATTGTTAACACGCTGCGCAGCGCTATCTACGTTTTTCATGTACAAAACCGATAAAACCACATACTGTGCACGGTACACTGCGTCCCACGGCCTGTAACTCGCGTATCGACGTACAGGTACATGACATGTGCGTATTATGTAAAGTTATCCATTGCATGCACGTCTGATCAGAATGGAATGGCAACCTTTAAAGATATTGTTCTTTTTCATTATAGTTGTATCAAGAATGGACTCAAATGGCGATATGATACAGTTAAAATGATGTCATGATGACATCGATGAATTTATTAATGATTTTTCGTTTTTCTTTCAAATTGATTTTCTACACAGATACATAGCCATTGTAGCCAATATTTTGGCAACTCAGCTGTATTCCATGAAACTGTAATATTATCATATCAAATCTATTTTTTAAACATTCTTCTTTTATAATCCGATTTACTAAAACAGCCAACTCCGACACAGCCTGTGTTTATTCACAAACACAACCTCTAGTTAGCTGTTTCGGCAACAGCCGGAACAGCTCTTGATTTTCTGGGTTTTTTTTAGCTGTTTCGGAAAGAGCCGCAACAGCTTTTGTTTTCGTTAATTTTTTTCTTTTTAGCTGTTCTCCGCGTTTCGGCGAAAAAGCTCTTGTTTTCGTTAATTTTTTT